CCTCCGAGGCTGCGGCGGCGGTAGCTTTAGTGGGGTCTTACTAAAGGCAGCGCGATTGGGGATCTCGCCCGCTGCTGTACAAGCCCCTGCTGCCTCCCCACACGTCTCTGTACGTCCTGCCTTGCTCCTCAGCCAGTTCTTCCCTCCCTGCCATGTTGCACGCTCCTCCGCTGGGTTTTCAGGCAACACTCCCATCCTCCCCTATTTGTGAGGTTTTGTGGTCTGTGAGGCCAGTCGCGCACACTCCACATGGAAGATGGAAGATGCAGAGCAGAGAGATGGAGGCAGGAGCTCCAGTCTGCAGGGGAGAGGAGATTCGTGTGAGAGAGCAGCTAGCTCAGTACGGCTCGAGGGCCAGCCCAGTGGCCTTAAAGCCAGCGCTCTTTAAAGGCAACAATACGCTTCATAAAGGAAACCAAGCCTCAGATGTGACTGGACCTGCCTGTTCCCCACCCTGAGGGCGTGGTATGGAGGTAACGCCAAAGACCAAGTGCCTGCAGCCACCTGAGCTGTGCGATTGGAAGCCAAGCCATGCTCTAGTCTTACAATCCACCTGCAGTTGTATGGAAAATGCACTTGGCGATGCCTTGGAACAAGCATGAATGTTTCTGCGCTGGCAGCTTGGCCAAGCCTGTCACAGCTCTTGTAATAGTTGCCCTGTTATCCCCCCTCTGCCAGTTGTTCTGCTGTGTTTCCTGGGCACATCTCCCAGTCTGCCCTTATCTGAGTATATCTGTGGGACAGCACCTAGATTGCTGTCCTGAGTGTCCTGTATTGGAACCGGGCCCCGCTGCTGAATGGGTAGGGGCACTTGGCGCTAACTTGGATTTTAGCTGGCTCAGACTCCAGTGTCAAGCTTCATGTCCTTCCGATGCTGTTCGTGTTCCTATGAGGCATGAGTAATCACCCTGTGTACAACAGGCCAAATTCTAGCCCCTCCCTTACACCTTCTTGACATCACTGGGGTGATGGAGAAGAGATGGTCAGCTGCTGTCCTCTGCTCTCTAGGACAAATCTCGAGGGCAAATGAGGGCATCTGTGCCCCCCCTCGGTTACACAGTGAGAGATGCTAAAGTAGACCCTTGTCTGCTTACTGACGTGTGATTTATGCTTCACAGGGATTCTTGCACTTTCCTGATGCACCTGTTCCTCGCTGCTGTCTGAGACCGACAACGGGGCTACCTTGGACCCTACTGATTTCATTCTCTGTCAGCACTATGTAACTTACATCTGACTTGGGACTGCTGAGTCTCAGTGGGTGTAACTTGCATGCTGATGGGGCAGACGAGGAGTGTGGCAAGACAAGCAACTAACAGGAGGTGTATGGAAGAAGAATAACCTGCTCCTAGCTGGTAGTAGAGGAAGGAGGACTATGAGAGCCGAGAGCACTGGCTACCCCTGGCCTTCATGCCTTGGCCTAGAGATGGTTGAGATAAAAGGGCTAAATGGCTTTTCAAAAACACAGTGTAACAAGTTTCACAACATGCCTGTCCTAGTGCAGCTGTTTCCAATACATCAACTATGAGTCACTGGTCACCCTAGAGCAACTTGGAATGCATGGGTGTCTCATGGTGGGAGGGAAGGTGGAGGGGAGCTCATGTACTTCGTTCAGCTCTTTGGCCCCTGAGGGGTGGGCCGTCGGTAGTTCCTCTGCAGCCCATGTCGTACCTCAGCAACTTAGTTCAGTGCAGCAAGGCTGGGGTCCATGGCTTAGCTGAGTTCCATATGCTGTTTCTAGCCTGAGCCAGCGAGGAGGCCAATGCTCAGTACTGGTTCCCAGTAAGCCTTGCTGCTTGGACGGAGTCTCTTGCTGTGTGCCAGGTCTGTTTTCACTGTCCACTCGCATTCCAGGTGCAGAGCTAGTGCTGTGGAGCAGAGAGGCAGGGCTAGCCTCGTTTTCCTCCACAGCACCCTCTTTGGCCAACAAAGGAACTGCAGGAGTGAGCGCCAAAGTCCGTTCTAGCTCGTATTCATCCTGGAAAGATGTTGGTCACAGTCTTTCCTGGGGCCGGAACGCCATGTGCAGGGAGTGGGCTCAGCCAGGGAAGGGATGTGCCCATTTCCCTCTGGGAGTAAAAGGGCAGCATGTTTGACCCAAATGTTCCCTTTGTGACCTGCAGGGGGTTAAGCAAGAACCCAGCTTCGCCCATGATTTGCTGTGTCACTGTCGGCAAGTCACTTAACTTCTTCTCTAAATCAATTGATTGTCTGTGAAATGGTGCCCTCCTCTGTCGAGAGCTACAGAGGACAACGTGCTGTTGTATATCAAGCCAAAGCTATGATTTGTGGGGTACCAAGCAATAGAGGTGCCCACTGAGAGACATGCCTCCCTATTCCTATTCTGGGGTGAAGAGGGACATGGCGGCTAAGTTCAGGAGCTGGGAATCTGCTCTGGGCCCCATGCCGCTATTTTGTATACAAAGCTGGCCTTCTGTCTGGCCCTCTGGGTTTTTGGAACAGAGTGCTTCAGGGAAATGCTGAAATGGTAGCATTCTTGCTGGTGTATGCAAAATCCCTCAGCAGGGACTGTGGGCCTCTTTAGGGGTGGGGATGTGCGTGGGGAGTGAATTAACTTGCTTTTCAAGTTTAGCTTGCATGGTCAGGTTCTTCAGAACCTCGCCTGGCAATGAGGAAAGACCGGCTTGTGAACAGAGATTGCATCTCAAGAGACAGTGGGAAAGTTAATTTGGAAAGGACCAGTACAACCCTACACAGGCACTGCAGAAACTCTGGTTGGGGGAGTGTGCAGCTACTCCATTTTCTAGGCATCTCCGTGCAGCATTGGCAATGCAGCCATGCTCTAACTACTGGGCCTTTCTGCAGCTTTCAACACCATAGACTCCAAGGTACTGCTAACCTAGCTAGCGCAGCTGGAGAAGTCAGTGCATTGCTACAGTGGCTCCAAGAGATCCTTTCCAGCAGGCGCAGAGAGCGGTGAATAGCTGCTGCTTCTCCCACAGGCCTTTTAGGCTGGGTCTCTGCAGCGCAGCACAGCACATCTCCCCTTCTGCATATACACAGATGCCATGGGCTCTGCTGCCAACAATGTGATGCTGGCACTTTGTTGGGTGCCTCATTTTTCACAGCTGCAACCAGGGGCACTAAGCCGTCCATGTTTAGAGAAAGCAGCTCTTGCCTGAAGAGCAGCAGCTCTAGTTCTGCACAAGCAAGGATGAAGCTACACAAGCTGGTTGGAAGGGGGAAACATGTAGACAACCTTCCAGTGGCAACGCTTCCCTGAGTGGTACAAAGAATCAGGCCCTTTGTCTCCTCCATTTAGCCTCAATAAGCTGCTAGAGTATAACTAAAGTCTCCCCCCTCCAGCTTGCTTGGAAACTTTCCTTCCTCCTAGCTGACCAGTGCGCACACTGGAGTCTCTGCAGGTGCACCATCCCCCCTCCCTCCACCATGCCTTAGGCTGCTGTGAGATCATCACCGCTGTGTTGTAGTGTGGTGCTTTTTTGGGCACCCAGGGCTGAGAGTCACCTTGTCGCCAGCTGCCTTCAGCAGGAGGGAGTCGTGCCTGTGCCAGCTGGGTGTTAGCTTCTAGCACAAACCAGCCTGTCAGCCACTCAAGCACTCTTCTCCGGGCTCTGCCATCTGACAGTAGATGCACCCCTGCCAAGCATCTGCCTATGGTATCCAGCCCCTGCTCATTGGCTACCCCAGAAACCCCAGCTCCTCTGTTCCCAAAGGAATAGTGTACCCCAGTTGATAAGTTTCATCTTAGCCCACCGCTCCTGTGTCACACACAGCACGTGAGCTTGATTGTAGTAAAACAAAAGGAAATGTATTTTAAAAAGATTCAAATAGAAACAAGGGCAAGTGATGGAAACAAATGGTCAATTAGAAACCCAAATCCTAAAACACAAACTATGGCCCACCCTTATAAATTATTATCTTTTGTAGCTAATAGATTCTAACCCAAAAGTTCGTCTTTTGCAGCCTTGGCTGGTCCCAAGGACCTAGGCCCTAGTCTTTTACATAACATCCCTGCCCATCCCTTGACAGCTGGCACTACTGGGCCTCCATGTCACAAGGAGTCCCCGCACTAGCTCCCAGGCAAAAGTTTTGACTCTCTGTATAAGGCACAATGCAAGACCCTCCTCTTTGATGCTTTTTCCACTGTAACCAGAATATTTGTTACCCTCCCCTATCTCCAGCAAGAAACCCTAGCCCAGCCAAGAATTCTGTTCCCAGTACCCCCACTCTAACCACTAGGTGGCACTGCCTCCTAGAAAACCTGCTTGAGTGCAAGCTGGGATGAGCTCAGAACTGTCCTTGCCTCTCCCACCAGGAGTCAGACACTGGGGACAATCGTTGGAGGAATGGAGTCTTCCAATCTAAGCCATCCTTTGGCAATAGGGATAATGTTCTGTTTCTCTAGCCTGGTGTCTCCTGTTCAGGGGAGTGGGGAAATGCTAAGCTAGTCCCACCAGTAGGGGTCATGGCAGGACAGTGACTCAATTTTGTTTTGTCCATGACCTACGAAATGGCCAAAAACTTTGTCCCGTGACCCACCAGATCCTCCAATCCTTCCTGCTCTGTGAGCCTGGTTTGTCAGCCATTTTGTGGACGGGAGGAATTGATAGGCGATGGTGCTGCTGCTGTCCCAGTCTCTCCCATCACTGAGTACTGTACATGGCAGAGGAATGGTGGTGGTGGAAACCAGAGCTAATCTATTTCTTCTAGCGGGAGTCACTGTAGGGTGTCCTGAACAGAGATGTCTTCATTCTGACCTCCTGCAGCCGGGAATGAACAAGAGGAGGGATGGCGGAGCTTTTTCCCATAGGCAGTGAGGGAGCTGGAGTGGGCTATGTGAAACTCTTTCCATCTCTGCTGTCCCTTGTAGGCAGGACTGGGCAGAATGACTTGAGGATGTGCCGATGCCCAGCCATTCCCTGGAGGAGGAATGAGGCTGTCAGCCATAAGAACATAAGAATGGCCATACTGGGTCAGATCAAAGGTCCATCCAGTCCAGTATCCTGTCTGCCGACAGTGGCCAATACCAGGTGCCCCAGAGGGAGTGAACCTAACAGGTAATGATCAAGTGATCTCTCTCCTACCATCCATCTCCACCCTGTGACAAACAGAGGCTAGGGACACCATTCCTTTAGCTGCGTGGGAATGCAGTGATGCTGTTCCCAGCAGCAAATGCACACTGAGGAAAAGAGTGAAAGGGAGCTCTGTGGTTCTCCACTCCCAGCAGGAGACGCTCTGTGACAGTGTTGTGGGGGTAGGCAGGCTGCAATCAGGTGCTATGTGGGAGGGGACGGGGGGACTGGCATGTATAAACAAAGTTAGTCTTTATCTTGTGCTCAGTAAACCAAAACTAGGGCAGTTACACAGAGAAGGGCACAAAGGAGGCGGGCCTCTGTGTGTAACAAGATCAGCTAATTTAAAGATGTTTGGGGTGGGGAAGGGAATCTCACACTGACTGAGTCTTCAGGGAGTGTTGCTGGCTGCATGGACAAGGCGGCATCAACTGCAATGGACACAAGAATGTCATTAGGAGGAAAATGCACATGTACATTCACTGCAACTGTCAGCTGGGGGAGAGGGGGAGATAATGTCACCCTGACTTCTGGCTGCTGTGAGGTGCAGGGTATTATGTGGCTTTGGTCAGATAGCACTAGCTCTCTCCCAATTGCCAACTGCAAGAGTTAAAAAATCCTGAGTCAGACCCCCCCACAAATCATGAGATTGACTCCCAAATCACCCACTGGCACTGCTTCCTTGGTTCCACCACTCCTCTACCCAGTCCCAGCAGCACCACTTTCCTGACTCTCTGCCTCCTGCTGCTCCAGGACCCTCGCTTTGCTATAGGACCATATGTGAAGGCAGCACAGGTCTGTGTTCTCAGCTCTGAGGCTCTTGCCCAGAGTGTTATGCTTATAAGAAGCACTCCGGATCATTTTCAGGGGAAAAGGCAGTAGATTCCTGGTATTCTGGGTTGCTCTTCAGCTGCTACCAACTTTTCCTGATTTTCTGAAAGACAAAAAGAATATGTTTCTACCCCATTTGGGGTGGCAGATTATTGCTTAAAATATTCCCCCCCCCCTTTTTTTTTTTTTTACTAAATACCCTTGCTGATTGCAGGCAAAACAGAGGAATTACCCCCATACTTTTCTGTGTTTTTGTTCTATAGGCAGGCCATGTTTTAATGGCTTCTACCTTTTAAGGGTGAATTATCCCACTGTTCAGTTATTAAATTCATGAGGTAGTGTACCTCAGTTTTCCTTCTTATACAGCAGACCAAGTTTGTAATGTTTTGTTTTGTTTTCTGTGCTAAGCTCTAAGTTTATTCACAGGTAATAGCTGAGAAGCATCATTACCATATGTCCTTAAAGGTTTTTTCCAAAAATCATACACACTATACATTGTTACAGGGTACTTATTAACATTAAGTTTATCCCAGTGTTTAATATTAACATCAAATCTATTAAAAGTATCTTGTTATACCATGCTTTTTATTCAGACAATTTGTTTTTGAGACCAGTGTGTTCAATGTCCTCTTGAAATCTTTGCATAGGCTTTTTAACGTAATTATATCCTTGGGGTTTGGGTGAATTAAAAGATAGGGGTGTCATGCATATAAGCAAACCTCTTTTGTACCTGTCTTCAGATTTCAGCACTGCATACACACACACAAAGTATATTTTTCCTACTTAGAGTTAACCTGTCACTCTCTTATTCTTAGGTTTGACTCCTTTTACCACCTTCCTCTGAAGGGTCATAATTTGAGTCTTTTAGTTTCAGGTAGTTTGTTTGCTTACCAGGTATGTCCTTTATCTGTGGCTCCTTTGTGCTGCCATTTATGGGTAGTTCTCTCCTTCCTCTATCAATTAGGTAATTTGCATCAACACAGGTGCTTTCTGGCTTGCTTTTGGATCCAAAGCCATCAGTAGCTCAGAGCCTCTGTCTTAAAAGGTTTCAGAGTAGCAGCCGTGTTAGTCTGTATCCGCAAAAAGAACAGGCGTACTTGTGGCACCTTAGAGACTAACAAATTTATTTGAGCATAAGCTTTCGTGGGCTACAGCCACTTCTTCGGATGCATAGGGACACAATCAACTTCCACCAGAGTTTTGATTTTTTTTTTCCTCTTTCAACTCCTGCTTCCAAAACACACAGCGATCTGAAAAAGAAAACACAACCTATTGTGGCTCCCTTTGGAGCCCTAATAAGATTTTAATTAAGTAGCATGTTTTGTTTGCATTTCTTTTACCCTTTCTACAATATACACTGCCCACGTCCTGGGAAAAATGCACATTCCTTTCATAGTTTAACTTCTATAACATTAGCCATATCAATTTTTACATAAGGTGTAACTGTTTCTTTTGTGCTCACAGAGTTCTCATGCACCCTTATCAAAGTGACAGCTGATTACTCAGAGCCACCTTAAGGCGTTTTACAAAGAGTTTTACAAACCAGGAGTGTTGCTTTAGGTCCTAAATACTCCACATATTTACACAATATATTTATACACACAGATACATACATACTCTTTTGCTTAACAGCCCTTACACAGCTTTAATTTTTACACCGCTGTACATAGATTACATCTGTATACATTTGGGGGCAGTTAAGTTCCAATAGAAACCCCTTATGTTCTTTTAGCAAATGTGACTAAATTGTAAATAGTCCAGGCAAAGAGACAATCTGATTGAAATCATCTGACTATGAACAGACATTCCTTTGGAAAAGGGGCCCATTTTCCCTTCAGAATGGTTGCAAAGAAACCAAGAATTCTCTTTCTATAACACATTTCCTTTTTAACATTTTTACAACGTTCAGCTGCTTAATTCCCTCCAGCCTCTGCAGAGTTAACTTCTCACTCTCTTTCCTTAAATCACTTGCTTATCTCCCAAAATGACACCTTCATGAAAAAGTCTATAAGCACTAAAAACTCTGCCTGACAGAGCAGGAGGGGAAAACGCTAAGCCCCCTACCTTTTGGGCTCAATCCTGCTAGGACAGAGGGTATATTCACCTATGCAATTTTTCCCCGACAAGCAGATATGAGCAATGACTCTAATCCTCCCCCTTATGGGCAGGCACCCCTATGACCAGGGGTGTGTATACCTAGACAGTTTGTATATATCTTCTCTGTATAATTTTCCCCAACAGACAGGTTGGAGCGAGAACTCTAATCCTCCCCCTATTGCCCGGCACTTCTATGACCGGGGGTGTGCACATCTGAATGATTGATCCCTTTGTAAGTATGGTATACCTTTTAGCAATATTTAGCAGTATTTTCAAATATCACAAGTGCATGTCTTGCCCCCTTGCCCACATTCTCCACCAAAAATGTTATGCTTATAAGAAGCACACGGGATCTTTTTCAGGGGAAAAGGCAATATGCCTGGTTTATTGAAGATACAACACTTAGCATATGCATTCAATCATACCCCCCCCCCACCACACACACACACACACACACTGCCCCGCCAGTTGATGTTATAGTTACCAGTCCAGAGTCTGGATCAATCTAGTGGCCAGCGATATTGATGATGGGTAGGTAGGAGTCAGGTTCTGTCGGTCGCAACATGGTGCTCCAGGGAAGTCTTGGCAGGATGAACCCAAAGTTTCATGGCAAGGCACCC